TGCCACACTGCAGTGCAAGCAAAGGTCCACGGACAAAGAATACACCGCGCCACACTGCAGCCTCCATGAAAAGGCTTGTCTTCTCTCTTCTCTTAAATTTTATTTTTCTCTGTGAGTTTGGGGCCAGCCTGGTCTACAAAGCAAGTTCCAGGACAGGCTGCAAAGCTACAGAGAAAAACCTTGCCTTGAACCCCACCACCAAAATTATATTTTATTGTGGTGGGAAGGTTGCAAAGGCAGATGCAAGGGGGTGGGGAGATGAATGGGATCGAGATGCATGATGTGAAATCCACAATGAAGAAATGAAAAAAAAAGTTTTGTTTTTCTCTTCTTAAAGAATACAAAGAAGCATTTTTGTTTGTCCTGGACTTACTATATAGGCCAGGCATGCCTTCAACTCACAGAGATCCACCTGCCTTTGCCTCCCAAGTGCTGGGATTAAAGGCGTGCCTAGACTTTTAAGGTAACCAAAATATAGTTAAGGCGTCCCTCCCCTGCTCTGAATCATTTGCCTGGCAAGTGTTCCTCCTAGTGGCATGTTAATTGATCTTAGCATCACACATAGTCTGGCCTCTGAGTGTACCTACTGCAGCAGCAGATTCTGGGCGTTAGGAAGGAATGGGGAGGCACCAGATATTAGGCAGCAGAACTGCAGCTCCCCCCTCCCCCCCAACCCCCACCCCATGCTGGAAGCAGAAACCAGGGAGCCAGCCAGTGCCTCAGGCCTCAGAACTACAGTGTTCCAATCGGTGTTGTGCTATTTACACCTGGCAGGGCAGACCAGGAAAGGGTGTGTTCAGGCTGCGACTGGCTGGGCCTTCCTCACTCACAAGTGGCTCCAATATACATAATACAACTAACACCCAGAGTTCAGCTAGGCAAGTGCTGAGGCTCTACCTAGAAATCCTACCTTGTGGTCCTGAGGGCTCACATGTATTACAGAACCTAACAGGAAGTGGATGGTACACAAGGTGTCTTCCAAAGCAGGAGAGCTATCCTAGGACCAGCTCATACCAGCTGACAGCCCAGCGGGTGAAGAACCCTGTACTCACAATCCAGGCCCTTGGGACCCTGGACACTGGGCCTGTGGGATTCCATGGCAGATCCATGTACCCACACTGGCCCCCAGCTCCCTGACAAAAGGATCAAGCTGTGACGGATGGTCCCTTCCCAGTGTGGTTGCCTAGCACCTCCATCTCCTCAGCCCCTCAGTAAGCAACACTGGGACTTGGTCAGACTGCTGTGCTCTGTCCCCAGCTGTTGTGACAGTACATGTGGGCATCTGGACAGAACGTCCTTACTGACAGCACAGTAAGAGCTGAGGTCAACCTCACCTGCCTCTGAAGCCCCCCCCCACACACACACACTGGTGGCAGAAGGCCTAGCTGTGTCTAAGAAGTCCCTCTCGCCATAGACCGGCTACAGTCCCGGTCAAGCAGGACAGCAGTGTGGTCCCCAGGATCCAGAGGCCAGGGTCAGTCACACACAAAGATGACTCCCAAGTCACTGTGGGTGTGGGAGATGTCACCATCCGAGCACAGCTTGCTGATCAGGGAGGCCTAACCACACAGCACAGGGCCCTGCACTGCCAGAAGAGGCTACTCTGTGCACACACAGAACCTCGTAGGCTCAAATTCCTGCCATCTTGAGTGCTCACAACTGCCAAGTGGTCTCTAAAAGTTACATGTGCCTGGGGAAAAAACAAATCAGTATTTCAACTGCTGATAAAAATTTGAGATCTTTAATCCTGGCACCCTTCTCTTCATGCCTAGGGGGCAGATAATTGGTTTTTGCTGCAATGGAGCAATGATGACCTGTTTCCTAACTGATCAGATCTGGGGGGAACTATCAAGGCGTTAGGAACTCAGCCCTTCACTGCACAGTAGCTTCACGCTAATCGCTGCTACTGTGGTGGAGAAAGGATTGATGGGCAAATCTGCTGGCCAGCTGAGGCCTCAGAGAAGATTACTTGAATCCTCAGATGATGAAGTAAAGTTTAGAAAAAGTAGAACCGTTAGGGAAAGTCTGACAAGGAGGGCACAGTCACAGGGAGTGCCTCTCCGCTCAGGGCCCAGCAGGCCAAAGGGCACCATGAAGGTGTCATCAGGAGATGCTGTGGGGGACTGAAAAGCCAGCCTGGGGTGGAGCTTCTAGCTCCTTTTTCTACAGAGTCCCTGCAGGAACGTCTTCACCAACAGTGCTTTAAAGACTTTGAAACAGGCTTATATTCACACCAGGTGGTATTCTGTTTCTATAGCCAACCCTGTGGCACAGGTGTGATGAGGGAGAGTCAAAATGTGGAAGAAACAAATGCCATGCTCGCCAACAGTGCTGGGACGCTCACCGACCTCTAGGAAAAGATCCAACTGGAACCTGTTTGTTCTGGATTCTCCCATAGCTTCCACAGCTCTGTGGCCTGAAATACCAAGTGTCACTTCCTGGTCCTATGTTACACACACACACACACACACACACACACACACACTCCCCTGACAGAAGTTGTACAATGTGCAATGTGATGCAAGGCAGATACCAAACACTTCAAAGTCTATTTTGGATCAAAACAGGGAGCTCCTTTCCAGGGGCTGGGCTAATGTCACCTCCATTCTTTCTGAAGGTATCCGAGGGAACAGACACTGCTTGTCTTGATCCTGGGGCAGGAAGCAGGTGCCCACTGTGTGTCAGTCAGGGTTCTTCCTTTTGTAAGAGACACACTAAAAACCAGGAACATTGTTTCCTGATGCGTAACACGTTACGAGTGCCTTGGTGTCACCGCTGTCAGGAGGACCATCACAGAGTACCAGCCCTACCCTGTTGCCCTGACCGTTAGAAGACCATGAAGAGCCCTAGCTACTGTGGTCCCAGAAAACGGAAGACCCCTCAAATTACCTCAGCAGGCAACAGAAAGAAGACATAATGAATCTGGTGAAGTTTTGACTATACCATATGGTGTTTTTAGAGGACACAGGTCCTGATTGTACAGCTCACTTCAGCTCCACCACTGACAAGCTGTGCCCCCCCTAGGAAGTGTGCATTTCTAGTCAGTGCCTCAGTTTCCCATCTGAGAAACGGAATGGAGCGTTCTAAGTTTCTAAGGGGCTCCTTCCTGCCTGACATGTGGCTTCCACTTAGTGAGGGTTAACTGCACTGACACAGTCGGTGCTCTGTGTGGAGGAACAAATGAGAACGAGTGAGAATATTTTTAAAGAATAAAAATGCAGAGAGATGGCTCGAGGGTTAAGAGCACTTGCTGCCCTTGAAGAAAACCCAGGTATGGATCCCAGCATCCACTTTAGGGAGCTCACAACCACCTGTAACTCCAGCTCCAGAGACACTCTTCCAATCTCTCTCTCTCTCTCTCTCTCTCTCTCTCTCTCTCTCTCACCATATACTCATAACCTTAAAAATTAAAATATTTTTCTAAAATCACACAATTAATTAGCTACATACCTAGACTAGAGTGGTATTCAGGCAAGAATCAAAAAGGTCGGCGAAAAAGAAGAGATGACCCCAAATCACCACGCACACTTTACAGCATAACTTACAAAGTATAAACTAATTAGACATGGGCTTTCAGCAAATGGTTTTAGTAAGCTGGCCAAGTATCTTGAAGAAACTAATTAAGAATGTCACTCTATGCTATATTCAAAACAAATCCAGACAAATTAAAAATGCATTTTAACAAGCTCATAGAATAAAGAAGATGTAGGCAAAATGCTGCATTAATTTGGATCAGGACAGAGATTTTCTGTGTTAACAATAAAAAAAGGAAAAGAAAGAACCAAGAAATTATCAATATGAAGAACAGAAAAGTGGACTCAGTAAGTCAGACGGTCGTTTGCTTTAAGAAACATCTGGCTAGGGCTGGAGAGAGGGCTCAGCAGTTAAGGGCACCAGAGGCTATTAGAAGCCCCATGTTCCCAGCACACAAGGTGGCTCACCACTGTCTGAGCTCCAGTTGCAGAGGACCAGCACCCTCGTTTAGCCTCTGAGGACACTGCACACACATGGTGATCAGACACACAAGCAGACAAAACATCCAGACACACAAAACAGAATAACCAAAGAGAGACCTGGTTACATCAAAACACAAAAAATGGAAAGAGGGCTGAGCCAACGAGTTAGAGTCTAAATAAGTTATTAAAAGTATGTATTTCTATCGTCCCTCAAAATGCGAACAGAGGCACATGTCTACGGAACATGAGCACAGTGCTCGGGGCTGGCAGAAGTGCTGCACGGTGGATTTCCCACACATGGTGCAGGAGCCCTGGGCAGCCCCGACCCTTCTCACCCAGCCTCCGCCTGCAGACCCTCCCCAGGGAGCCGTCACTGCTGCAGGTGACAGGATGTGCTACGACTCCTCTTGGGTAGACAAACCAATGTCTGCATAGCCCAGGTAGAGCAGCAGCCACAGACCACAGTGATTACTCAATCCAAGTCCAGTTTGGTGGCCTGAGTTTACAGTCACAATGATTACAGAAACATGGGTGACTATAAAAATATGAGCAGTTTCTATTTTCTTTTTCCGTTAAAAACAAGAGACAAATTGTTGACTTGGTCAGCAAGCCCACAGGGGCTCTTATATAAGACCCAAGCCAGACACCAAGCATGGAACACTCTACCTCCTCCCAGGATGCTGTTTGGCGGAGCAAAAATCAATTCTTTATATGAATCCAATGCCCACAGCCAGACTCTGCACTCAGAATGTCATCAGCCACTTCTCACTGCTGCCCGAGCATGGGAGGGAGGCATGGACCCATGGGAAATAAACAAGAAGATACAGCATTCTCCGCCTGCCCCCAGCTGCTAGTGACAGAGCAGCCGCCACAGCCCAGAGCAGACATGTGGGGGATTCCGAGAGGGGCTGAGGGAAGGAGGAAGGAGAAGGCAGAGGGGAGCTCAGTAGGATCCTAGAAACAGCAGCTACAGGTCAGCACAGACCACAGGACCCCAGGCCTCTGAAGACGGAGCCTGCCCTTGGTGGGCGGTGAATTCCTCAGCAGCTCAGGCTCCTCCTAACTGGTGCACAGCAGTGCACAGCAGATGCCGGTAAGCTCTGTGCAGCACAGAGCAGAGGGACAGGGAGCAGCAGTACAGAGAATCCACGGAGCCCACACTGAAGCACAGAGCAGAGGGACAGGGAGCAGCAGTAC